GGTGGAGCCGGCCGAGGGGCCCTCCCCCGTCCCCACCCAACCACCCGCTCGGCCCCGGGAAAGCAGCGCCCTGTGTGGGCTCCACCTGCCCGCCAGGGGGAGTCAGAGGACGAAGCCAAACTGGGTTCCGCACGCGAGGGCGCCTCTCATTCTGTCTCTCCGGCACCCACCTTCCCGAGGCGGCGACCCTCCGGACACACGGAGCTCCCGGTCCTTTCTTCAGGACTTTCTGATCCCGTCGCCTGTCACGTACCTCACTTTGAGGGGAAAGAGGATGGGGAGCTCTCGCACTGGGTCAGCTCCTCTGAGCCTCCCTGGCTCCCGTCTGTGACCCGTCACTGTGTCTCAGCCGCCACCCTCCTCTCCCTGAGCGGATGGGCCCACCGAGTCCCCCTCCCTTAGTCTCAGGCACACCCCACACTGGCTGGCCCGCTTTCCTGTCGTCAGTTCCAGCAGAAGGTGCCCTGGAGAAGCTGATTCGGACCTGGGCTAAGTGGCCTGGTTGGCTCCGCCCCATTTATCCTAGGACTCCCTACCCTCTCCAGTAGACTAATAAGGACCCATCTGTCCCCCTAATACATGGGTCACGGCCGCATTCCCCCTCCCAACCGCTCCTGAGAGCTCCCTCCCTGCCCTCGGTACCCCACCCCCGCCTCTTCAGGAGGGACTGTGTACCCTTGCCCTGTCCAAGTGAAACAACCCCAAGCCAAATCTCCCGTTCCTGCCAACCCACTGGGCCAGGGCACGGGCTTGTGAGCCCTGTGGCTGTAGCATTCTTTAGACTGTTAAATGTTTATATTATTAAAGGTGTTCTAAAGAGTCTTCTGTAAGAACGTGCCTCGGGAAGTTGTGCGTGTCCGAAGGAGTGGGAACCGATGTCATTAAATTAGGAGAGAAGCGGGGAGCGGGGGTGTTCTGGGGAAGGTGCCACAGTCATCCTACGACTCGCTGAGCACCACAGTCAATGGGGATTTGGCCCTGGCCTCAGGACGGTGACGTGGTGGGGACGGGTGGGAAGAGGCCCAGCGGGGAGGGGGCAAAGATAGTTTGGGTAGCAGAGATGGGAGGGAAGTGGAGAGGCAGAGAGTGGTCAGGCCAGGAAGCAGGGCCAGGGGCAGGCAGACTCCTGGCACAGGGAACCAAGGCTTCCCAGCAGTGTACCCCATCCTCGTGGACCAGCCCAAGTCACTCCAGAGATCTTCACAGATTTATAAAACAGGAGGTTTATTAGGCAAAGACCCATTTTCAAGAAGCTAAAGGTGAAGACAAAGAGGAGTTTTCCTCCTCCTCCTCCTCCTCTCCTTTTCTCCTGAATGACTCTCCCCAGGGGATCAAAATGGTCTGGACCCTAAAACCTACCCAAATAAAAAAGTGAAAAAAAACTGAAGTTCCAAAAAGTTACAGCATCTTAATTTCGCATAGAAAAGAGGAAGGGGTCAGAGGGAAAAGGGATCCTCATGTGGGGGGAAGCAACCCCACACGATGGGATACCCCCTCTTAAATAGTTGCCCCAAATGGGGCAATCCTGGGGCTATTGCATTTAAAACCCCCCACACCCCATTTTATCAAAACCAAAGAGAAAAAAAATTTCCTTTCCCCCAAAACCCAAATATATATATATTTTTTTATCCTTAAAAAAACAAAAAATCGAAGGCATAAGTGTCAAAGTGAATCTAGAAAGGGAATGTGAAATTCCCTCCCTCCTTCCCCCTTACTGTGGGGTTAATTGGTACATCCCCAGCAGAGGGACCAGCCCCAAGGGGATGGCAGGCGGGAAGGACCAAAGGGAGCAAACAGTGGGGGCCTCCCCAGCCAATCAGCAGCCAGTAAGGGTGTAGCCATGGTGCCAAGGAAGCCACACCCCCGTGGAATTTTCCAAGCGGGATGAAGAGGGGGGAAAATGCATTCCTGTGTAGTCTTCAGCCAATTTCCATGTCAAGTAGAGGCAGGGAAGCAGGGTAACACGCAGGGTGTGCAGAAAGGAGAAACGGGTCTTCTGGGTCCTGGGTCAGGGGGAACCCCGCTTCCTCAGCTCCTGGACAAAGGCTGGAAGGAAACAAGAGGCAGAGGTCAGGGTCCATTTCTTCCCTCTTTCCAAGTCAGAGTTCTTTCCCAGAGACACAACGCCGCCAAGATAAATAAGTTCAAAAAAACCAAAATCACCTCACCTTCAATTATCTCCTCTTTGACTTTCTGCAGTTCCTTCCTCACCTCTTCCAGAAGCTCCTGAAAATAACCAGTCAAGAGGAGACCTGGACTTGCTGAAACAAACTTCCCTTTTCTTATTTCATTGCCAAGCTAGGGGTGGAACCCAGGGCCTCTCCTGTGCTAGGCAAGTCCTCTATCTTTGGGTCACATCCTCAGCCCCCTAACTTTATTATTAGTCTCAGCCTCCAAAGTGCTAGGACGACAGGCATGTACCACCACACCCAGCCCTGCTTTGTTACTGACTGAAGAGCCAGAGGAAGCAGGTTCAAGACCCACCCTGCCCCCACGCGATGACATGGCTGCCAAGGTCACAGAATGACGGCTGTATTCATTCTATAGAACTCTAGATCTTTGGAGCCAGAAGAAAAGTACTGGAGAACATCCAGTACCAAGCCAGGCAAAGACATTCCAGTGTCCTGCCAACTCTGACGGGTGATGGATGGCTGGAGCCACCGGGCCGAGGATTCTGGGTACCCAGCAGGAATGGGTATGCTGATAGTTCCTTAGGTCTGCCACGGGTATTGGAAATGGGGCTGTGTTCTGTGTCATCCCTGACTGGATCCGACCTGACCCCTCTATTTCTCTGACTGGAAAACTAGGTTTCCAAGACCTTCTCTAGAACCACAGGGCATACTGGTGGGGGGCCCCAGACCCAGCTCCCCTCTCTCCTCATGGCCCTTTCCAGCTCCCAGCCTCACCCCCGCCTTCCCCACAAGCTACCTGCTTCACATTGTCCAGGTCTGACTCATTGGCAGAGGTGGGCGTGGAGGAGTGAGGCTCAGAAGCAGCCACCGAAGACGACTTCATCCTGGAAGGGTCGGTGTGGTTTGGAACACAAATGAAGTTAGGAGGATTTGCCTTGCCTGTCTTCCGCTCTAGAGGTCACATTGTGTTCCTCCTCGTAAACTGGGGGGTGGAGCCCCAACACTGATGGCCCACCTTGGCAAGGTTGTGCTGTTCTTCTCCCAGGGTCTCCGCATAGGTTCTGGGGAACAAGAGACAAATCGGAAACACAAGGGACAAAAACTGCCCCAAATCAAACCTTTTCCCCCAGCCTCAACAGCCCCCGTTCAAAGAGCCTTTCTGGCAGACTACAATCCCCAGCGCTATCCTCACAGACTCTCCATGAGGGTAATTCTGTAAATGCAAACAGGACAACCTGGGATTTGTAGTTTCTATGGTGAGATGGGCTCTTACTCACCACTCTGAGCTGGGACTCTGGCCTCTGGCTCCTCCTGCTGGTGTGAAATAAAACTGTCATAGGCCAGTCCCGCCTTACTTCCTCTTCAGGATCAAAACCAGGCCAGCCCTACATACTTGCTCCCCAAAAATCCTTCCCTGATGGCATAGCCTAAGGTGTACTGGGCAGGAGCAGCCCCTAACTTACACTGGCGGATTCATCCTTGGGGGGTCTCTCTCCAACTTGCGAGGCTTTCCTTCTGCAGGGGGAAAGTAGGACAGATGTGCCCACCCCCCTCAGCCCCTCAACAGCTAGCTCCTTTCCCGCTGGTCTAGAAATATACATGCCAGTGTGCAGAATTCTGGAATTCACGAAGGCTAAGGAAAGTCTAGCTTCAGAAATTAAAGAATCGGTCTTCCAGAATGAAGGTGGGGAGTCTTATTCTCACATGTGGGAATCATAAAATTCTAAGGCTGGAAGGGCTCTGTGTTAGCACTGGGGGGATTCTGAGAATCGGGGTTCCCAGGGTGCCGAGGCGGGAAGGGTCACCTGAGGCTCTAGAATTCAGGGTGCTAGAACATTCTATAGGCTGCCAACCCTGTCTGGAGACTGCAGCCTCCAGCACCGTTCCCCAGACCTGGCCATCAAGGGAGAACTTTCACCCAAAGAAAGAAACAGAACAAGAATCAGAACCCTCCCCTAAGGAGGCCCAGCAAAACTGCAGACTCCAGGTGCAGGGGCAGAGGTTCAGGCTCACCTCCGGGCCAGCATGGCGCTCATCTCCTCCATGAACCCCCCACCTGTGCTTCGACTGCTCTCAGCTTTGGGGACCAAGGGCCCCCCCGAGACCTCCTCTTGCTGGAGAAAGTGAAAAGGAGAGAGGGCTTGAAGAGGGGGCCTCCTGACCTCCTAGCCCTCCTGTGACATCTCAGGCGACTCTGGCCTCCTCCCATTGTCACATCAGGGGCCCATTCGCCTGCCACTCCCGGCCCCTCACCTTGCTGACTTTCTTGAGTTTGGCTCCAGCGATTGCTGCGGCCAGACTGGGAGCCCCAGC